GAGGAGAATTGTTTTCCTGACATGAGCCAGTCACAGATATTTCAGCACTTTCCTATGTAACTTGAAAGTGATTCTGACACAGCTTTTAAAAACAGAAAGTGAATGTTGTCTATAGGACCAGATAAAGTCTCATGCACTGAGTGAAAGTAGACAAGTTAGATGGACAGAAGATTAATCCTGACACCTGCAGGATTCTAGAGCCCTCAACTAATTGTGGTCAGAGACTGCATGAACTGATATTTGACCACAAACTGAGCTTCATATCTTCTGCCTGTTCTTTTTTAAATGGTTCTTTCTATTGTTAAGCTGCTTTGTGTGACTGAAGAATATTTGGCCCATGTTGGGTTTCAGTTCTTTCTAATGCACAGAATGATTGACAGTGTTACTTTGCTCCAAAGTGTCACTTAGAATAGAAAATTGTGGAACATTTTTATAATCTAAGTGCACTGAGTTGCTTGGCAATGTGGCTGCCTCAAATTTTCTATCAAATCTCTGGACAATTCTGCTGTTCATATTTGAGCTATTTGGGAAAAACGTATTTTGGCATAGGACAGTTGGTTTTCTTTTTCATTCAGTTATTTTGCTCAGGAATACCCTGGTAATGGATTTAAGGCTGTTTAAATTTATGTTGTGCTGAGGTTTGTCTTTCATTCTTTTACCAGTGGCATAGTTGCTTATAAATTTGGTGTTCTGGTTCAGTCTGAACGTTGGTTATTTCAAATCCCTTAGTACAGGGAAGCAGGTAATTAGGTGTTATGTATCACATGGTCCTGGCTGCTCAGAATGACTCCATATCATTGTTTCTCTTCTATCCTTCTATGGGTGACTTGGCTCCACACAATTCCAGTATGTGTTGTGGCTTCAGGACATTAGTACTGGTAGATGGTAGTGCTATTATAAAATCATGATGGCAGTGAAAGACTGTCTAACAGTGGAGCAAGTACAAAGAAGTCTCCACATCAACATCCAGAGAACAAACGAACAAACAAAAGAAGTGTAACTGGGCCTTCTCCTCTGAGGCAACTCTCTCTATGCTGTATTCCTGCTGTGCCCTGGCACTCCTGCAGTCAGAATCTTTTTCTGTTCATATGTTAAATTCATCAGTTTTTCTGTTTGAAACTCTTCTGCCATATAGCATCATTATTCAGACTTCATCAATCACCAGAAAACCCCTTCTTCTTTTCCTAAGATTGCATAGAGGAGAAATTGGCAAGTTAGCCTGTAGCTTACAAACCAGGAACAGTGTGGAGGTCAGTTTAAGTGAACAGAACCTCTACTAGAACAAGCTCCCTGCATTAGCAGTACGTATTCTGTGGACTTCCATGATTTTTAATGTTTTTTATTTTGAAACTTCTTTAACAAGGAGAAAAAAAATACCTGTATTGTTAAATGTAAGTCAAAAGTAAATATTTTGTTCTTTTAAGAGTTCATGTTACAATCCTGAAAGCCTAATACATACCAGCTTTTCAAGAAGATCAGTTCCTGTTGACAACTGCATTGAGATCCTGGGACATGGGAAAGTGTATGTAAAGTTGACAGCTGAGGAACTGTGTGAAAAGAGTGGTAATGCAAAATATATTTGTATCATTTTTCTCTTTTTTTGCTAACTTAAGACAACTTTGAACTAGGAAAAACATGGTTATCTGCAAGGGCAGAGAATCTAATGTCATTGTGCAGAAGCTTTTGAATACCATCCTGTCACCAGTAAATTACTTCAAACTGCTGGACTGTGATATGGTCTGAATTATTATGCACCTATGGATTTTTGTGATTAGTCATCAATGAGATCAAACATCTTTTCACTATAGCAAAATTGTGAAATTGCTGCAGAGTATTGAGAAATTTGGATTGATGGCAATGAAAGAATACTGATGGCAGTGAAAGAATACTAGTAAAACATACCAATTTTAAATTAGTCTTTAAGTATTAAGCAGGTCGTAGCTGCTGATTAGAGGTGTTATGATGCCATTTGATACCATTTACTATTACTTGGTACTTCTGTGGTTCATTGAAAGCTAATATTGAAATACAATATGTTGCCTATCACTACTGATTATTACAGCATTTTCACAAAAAGTATCACAAACCGTACAAGTTTTCCTCCATCAAAGAGAAGAAATGCAATAGTTATGTAAAAGTAAACATTATGTCATAATTACTATTTTCAGAATTGTGAAGATATAAGTGTAGGTAATATTATTAGTTTATTAAATGTGCAATTTTGATGTAATTGAGTGCCAAAATGCATGTTTTTCCAAATAGCACTAAAATGAGGCAAAGAAACTAGTTTTCAAATTGAGACTGACTTGTCACATTATAATGTTAATCAATTTCAACATTTGGGTTTGTTTTGTGTGGAAACTGTTGCACTATTTTTGGCTGTGTTTTCCAGCAGTCCCACTGCATGCCATTTGTGTAAAGGATTCTTTCTATAACTCATGTGAACTGTCTCACCTGTAAGAACTCTGGCGTTGGAATCTAGGTTTTTGGCAAAGTATTTTGTTACCTCAGTCTCGTATCAAGTTGCTGCATTTTTCAGTTTGTTACATTGATAATAATGATTGTTTTGCTAATTAAATACTTTAATGTAAAAAAGTTTGTTTACTACAACAGTAATAACATTTGGTTGTAAGTTTAAAAATGTGCAGGGTATGTATGCTGTTGACAATAAAATATTCTGAAAAAGAACAGTAGAGGTGCAGAAGGAATGTTTTCACTCAAAGGCAGCATACATGTTTTATTTGTGAATGAATGGTAATATAATTGAACAGACTTTATAGAGCACAGTGTCTAGCCATCTAGTAGTATAAATACAACAGAATCAACATTTCTAGGATCAAATTGAAAAAGCCTCCAAATTTGCAGCTTTGTTGGTTTGTATTTTTTAACTGGCCTATAAGCATGTATGTTGAGTTCTTGTACCTCAGTTAAAAAGGAAGTACCTTTTGTCAGGGCGCTGTGGGTATTAATGTCCCAGACCAGCCCACCTGGCACCCCGTCCTGGGCTCAGGAGTCCATTTGAGCTCTGCTCGAGCAGGCTCAGCTCTGACAGACCTCGTAGGGCAGGCTCTGGCTGCAGGAAGCCTCGGGTTTGGTCCAGCATTGCTCCCCTTGGTCCCCTGCAGCCACTGGGCTTGTCCTGCTCTGTAGGGGCAGCTTCAAACCCGTTCATCCCACAGACATTCTGGCTGGTCTCGGATGGCAGGGGAAAGGGAACTGAGCCTGGCCATGGCTAGCTCTGCTTCACTTGCCACAGCACTGAGGCACCTGGTCCTGGTTGCTGAGGCCTCTACCCCACTAGCTGTCTTCTTCCCCTCAAGTCCTAATAAGAGAAAGTTTTTCTCTCTAAATAGTTCGTAAAGCAGACAAATGCAGTTTGCAAGAGGACAAAACACCTATGAATTGTACAGATGACTGTTAATTTTTCTGATGCGTTATTACATGTATGTTGACATTACATGGCTGTCTCAAACCTTACTGCAAGCTCAAAAGTGAAACGTCAGTTATAAGGAGAGAAAGCGGAGCATTACCTGTATTGAGGGAAGGCAGAGGATATAATTTAAAGATCACATTAAAATTATTTCCACACAAGTTTATATTTGGCAGAAATTTAGGGCAGCAGCCCTTTTACATAGTGCACAAGAGTAAATGAATTTGATTTATGAACTGGATCAGTTTATCTAGGAAAGACCTTCAAATTGGAAAAAATTATTTGGTCCACATAGGGTGGTTGAGGGCTCAGTCCACTATTTTTTACAGATATTTGCACATGTTTGGGAAGTGCCTAATAACACCGTTTACACATCTTTGCAGGAAATTGGTGTGACATCTCTTTCATCAAGGATACATCCCTTTGGCGATACATGGCTTTGACTCTGAAAAAGAGTTGTGTTGGGTGTGCTACAATTTGAAATGTAATAATGAAATTTAAAGCATTTCATTTTAATAAGCATTTTATTCCTGTGTTCTCCCCAGCAGTAAAGATACACTCTATGTCTGAGACAAAGTCTGTAACTTAGGGCCTTTGGCACTAGGAAAGAAAATCCCACCACAGAACTCCTACAAATGCTAAACTTGTATTTTATTGTACAAATGACTCAGCTATCACATCTATCTCTAAAAGTAGACAGGACTCCAGTAAACTACTGGATTTTTATCATTGTGTTATTATCAATTTCTCTCTATTATAAAAAAAAAAAAAGACTCGCATTTTGAAAATATAATGGCTAGTGTTTCTCCGTTTTACACAAGTGAATTGGACAGTTAAGCGTCTGTGTCGAATCCGGAGCCCTCGAGAACAGTGCACCGCTGCTGGGGTCCTTGTTTTGCACTTGTGCCGTCTGTTCATTGTTCCCGCCGGGGCAGCGGACGCGGAGCGGCCGAACGAGCGCTGCGGCGCCCGGATCTGCGGCGGGGTGGGCAGGCCCAGCTCCGCACTGCCCCGCCTCGGCGTCCGGCCGCGCTCCGCCACGGGGCCCGGCGAGCCGGGGAAAGCGGCGGGGGAGCCGGAGGGGCGGCCCGGGGATCCCTCCGTCCGCGGCCGACCGCCCGCCGCTGGCCGAGCGAGCCCCTTGGGGCCGCGCCGCCACCGTTCCAAGCGACGAGCGGCCGCCCCGAGCGCGAACGGCCCCGTCAGGGCCACGCCACGCCGGGCGTGGGCTCTGCCTGAGGCACGGCCGGGCCGGGGGCCCGGCGCCGCCTTCCCGGGCGGCAGGTGAGGGGCCCGAGCGCTCTCGCCGGCCCCGGGCCGCAGGGCTGTGTTGCTGTTGCTGCTGTCGGTACCGGAGGGAGGCAGGTACGAGGCGCGAGGGTTCCGGTAGCGCCGACCCAGCTTGGCGCAGCTCTGGCGGCGGCTCTGCCCGCCCCCGGCGCGGGGAAGGGCGGCTCCCGCCGCACGGGCAGCCGGGCGTGGCGCCGGCTCTGGGCGAGCGTGCTGAAAAACCTGCCGGGAGCCAGGCGGCGGCCGGGCAGCGGCACCTGCTCGGGGTCCTGTAACTGGCAGCGCTCGCAGGAGAGGCGCGACAGATTCGGGATTTTATTTCCACTCAAGAAATAGGAGGATGGTGATCAGCTGTAGCATTATTTTTCGGTAGTGGGGTTAACCACTTGGCGGTAAGTTAAAGGTACATATTAATTGTCCAAACCAGATTTTCTGAGTCTCGGTCTGAATTCGTACTAAAGGTGGAGTTTAACTTTAGATTTGAAGAATGAAAAACTTCTCCAAAGCATAGTTCCAGTGTGTGTTGTGGGTTAATCCTGGCAGGCGGCTCAACCCTCACCCTTCCTCTTGCAGTGGGATGGGGATAGAATCAGAAAGGCAAACGTGGGAAATCCTGTGGGTTTTCCCTGAGATAAAGACAGTTAAAAGGTAAGCAAAGCTGCATGCAGAACAGAATGTGTAATCTATTCATTATGTCCCCTTAGCAGGCATGTTTCTAGCCATTTCCAGGAAAGCAGGACTTCATCAGGTTTAGCAATGACTTAAGAAGCCACATACTGTCCTGTCGTGTGTGTTTCCCCCTTTCTCCTTCCCCCAGCTTAAATAGCTGAGCATAGTATCATGTGGTGTGGAATAGGCCTTTGGTTGGTTTGGTTCGGCAGTCCTAGTTATGCTCCATGCAAACTTCTTGTGCCACAGGAGAAGCAGAGACAGCCTTGACTCTGCGTTAAGTACAGTTCAGTGATAGCTAAACATCAATGTGTTTGAAGCACTTGCTTTGGTCACAAAACACAACATCCTGCTAGCTACTAGGAAGAAAATTAACTCAGCCACAGCTAAAAAAGTACAGTGTGAAAGAAAAAAATTGAAATAACAGTCTTTTACGTGTCATGCGGTTTTTATTTTGCCCAATCTGTTTGATTTTTCAAAGGACACAAAGTTTAAAGGTTTACAATAGGAGGAGTTTGGTTTAGGGATTATAATGGAGATATTACACAGCAGATTCTAATGGAGAAGTTTCTGAGGGTATACAGGGAAGTATGTGGTTTGTCAGTTATTTTGTCAGCACAAAATATTGACAGTTGTATGATAACACTGTATATTGTTCTGGCTTACTGTCTTCGTATTTAGAATAGAAATAGTTTAAAGTTTTTTAGAAATAGTATTTTATTAGTGGAAAAACACTACCTTCAGTTTAATCCTTCAAACAATATGCTTCTGGATCTTATAAGAGAGGAAGGACACTGGTGTGTCAAATAACCTTTCTGAAAAAAGTAAGCTATCAAAAGATTAGCAACATGCATTTGAGATAAAGATGGTAAATGATTGTTAATATTTGGAATTTTTATTTAGGCACCAGCGATCTGTGGTTTTGCTTTTGACAAAAATCATTAACTAAAGGATAGAGAATGACTTTTTAAAAAAATGGTAAGTTTTGTAAGGCTGTTTTTTAGTGGGGGGTTTTTAGGCAGACTGGATAAACAAGGATTAGGTTGTTTATTGTTCTTATACTGCTGAAGCTAATACTTCATATTAGCAACTGAAACTCTGCAGTCACCTTTTGTCAGTTGCCCTCTATCCTTACCCTAGACTGGGAGATAAAGTAGTAAGATGAGAGTTATGAAAAGCTTTATGTAATGTAGACATTGTCAAGATACTGAAATGAGCAACGTAAAAAGTCTTCAGCTGTCTCCATGCGAACAAAACAAAGGACAGCCACAATGCAGAGGGCACGTGAAGGAAATTAATTATTACCCAGGAATTACTCTTGAACTAAATTAGTGATGGGTACCAGAGAAAGCTTATAAGTGCATTCTTGGTCCCATAGAGTACATTTTAGAAGGACTCTGACCAATGAAGTAAGGAGGTACATCATTAATTTGAGCAACTTAATCTAGTGAAAGATGTCCTAGCTACAGCAAGGGGATTGGAGCTAGATGATATTTTAAAGTCCTGGCCAACCCAAGTTGTTCCACGATTCTAACCGTGACAAGAGCTCTTTATTATGACCTTGCTGCAGAAGAAAACATATTGTGCAATTGCCCTTACTTGACTCACTGGGCAGATGTATTCATTGTTGGCTGATGACAAGCTCAGATGTATCTGTGCAATATGTTGCATCTCCAAAAAATGTAATCCTAGCACACATTAAGAAAGAAAATTTCCAACAATGAGGTCTTGTTACTTGCCACATGCAAATGGATAAAGTACAGACATTTCTAGTCTCCTTTACTAGAGAGTAATGGAAACTGGGCCAACTGCACAGAAAGAATTGGTGAAGGAAGACTTTTTTATGACGTGGGAGGATTATGAAGGATGACTTTCTTATGAAAGTCTTAAGACTTTCTTTAATTCAACTGTTTTGTTGAATAAAAAGGTAATGAATATGAAGACAAGGAGATGATATTACTGCAGTCTGTCAGGGTGTGGAGAGTGCAGTTAAGTGGAATACTGCAAAGTAGCCATCGATACCATTAGCTGAATTTAGTATTAAAGCAAATTTGTGTCATGCTTACTTGCATATCAATTGGAATTAAAAAATACAAAATTGAAATGAATTGTTACTATAAAAGAAACTAAATATGCTGAAAGCATACTTTTAAAGTTAAAACTTGCAATTTTACCTTCTCTATAGTGAGGAAATAAAAATGTAGTGTTCTTAATTACACTGATTTCATGTATTTTATGACTACATATCTGTGCTGTTTAGCTCAGGAGAGCAAAATTAAGGAGTCCTGTTGGGGAAACCATGAATTTCACTTGTCAAATAATTGCATATTTCTTTTCTTTAAGATTTGGTGTTCTCATTGAGCTCATTTGGTGTCTCTTTGAGCTCTTGATTTTGCTCTTTTTCTCAGCTTCTAGAACTCGCTGTTGTTTCAACACTCTCTCACAGTTCCTAATCAGAATCTGTATCAACATGTTCTAACTAGGCCTATAGCATGTTATAAAAAAAAGTTTGTCCAAGAAATACAGATATATATAGTGTATTTTTCTAGTTCTTTTAAAGTATGTGTGTGAACTGGGTTTATGTCAACATGCAGGATTAACTTTCAGAAGAAAGCTAAAGTAGCCTTAAAAAAATCCATGAAAAATGTCTGATTTGCTTCAACAACTCCATACTCATTTATAATTTAAATTAAGTTCTTGCAACACACCTGTTTACTTTGCTCAAGAGAAGGAAAACTTGTTTTTCTGGTAGGTGTGGCTGCTATTACTGGCATTAAAAGAGCAACAGCTATGCAAAATAAAATGTTCCAGGAAGGGTCTTAGGTATTGTACCCTTTTTTAAATTTTCAGTATTGTTCTGTAGTGGACAATTATTGCAATTTTCCTTCAAAGTATTTTAATTTTTTATCTGTTTAAAATAAGAAATTAGTAGATTATTTTAGCAAAATAATTTAGCAAAAAATGAATGGAGGACTGAACAGAACTTCAGTTGGCTATCTGCTTTAAAAAGTACTTTTTCCTTTCCAGTATTCGCTGTTCAAAATACAATTGAAAAGATTTTTTTTTTTCTTGTTAGTTATTTATTGCTAGCAAAAGCAGAAGAAAGAACAGGTAATAAATTTATTTTGTTATTTACTGTTGACATGGTTTGATATTTCTTTAATTAAAAAATATTTATTCTGTAAGACAGAACAATATTTTTAATCATAAATAGATAAAACCATGGGGAAGAATGTTAAATGTGACCTTCTGTATGTTGTAAGAATGCTAAAATATATAACATCCTTGGAATAAGAAGGTTTAAGAATGTGTCATAAAAAGACTTAAAAAGTTTTGTTTTCAGTCACAAATCTCCAGCTGGAAGTCCTATGGCAATAGCAGACTCTTACTTTGTATTTGCCGTTCTGCTCTGAATTTTAAGGACTTATGGGGCAGACTCTCCATTTCGGAGATAGAAGAGTCAGTGCTTTCTGCTGATCCTTTTCTGCTTTGTGCCTAGTGTGATGTAGTGAGATTTTTGGTGCCCTTATGGTTATTCTTGTCTGAAAAGCAATTTCTTGGTAGCTAGCAAAGGCTGCTGTAAATCACATCAGCCTTGGCATATGAGACATTTTCAGGGATGTGCTATGACTGTGGTTCTTCCTACTTCACTTTTCATAAAAGAGCAATTGTGAAAATATTGTATATTATTTTGAAGGTACAGGCAATTACTCTTTGCCTGCTGGAAATACTTTTGTCATCTTGTGCAATAGCATCAGTTCATTCCATCTCAACATTTTACTCTGCACTTACTGCTGACAGTTGAGGAAACTCTCTTCTACCAATCCAGTTCTCTGATCTGACATTAATTTAATTAATCTGGGACACTTTTTTCCCAAGAATCTCTGTGGTACAAGCAGGCCTTTAAGGAGACTCGCTGTCACTTTTCTGTTTATGGATCATATGTGAATACCTAAAGATGAATTTGTAGAGAAAATTTATCTAGGCTCCATTTGCAGAAATTAGTGGTTGAGAGTGCCTTAAAATCCTATTCAGGCATTAACACTTGCTTGCAAGTGCTGCTGAAGACTTCAGTCATCTAGGGACTTAGGACTGCCTACCTGTTCCTGCAGCAGCAAGAGTTTTAAGCCTTAACCCCCAGATCGTGCCAGGAGCTAAGCCAGCATGAATGCAGTGTGAGGAGACCCAGACCTCTAATAGGCATTAATATGAGATGACCTTTCCTGCAGCTCCTGCCTTGTACAGGGCTACGTAGGATTGAGTGGCTGAGACTGACTTTTACACCTGCATAGATTTCATCTGCCTTCTGCTGGGCTATATGAATTGACTTTCCTCTGTGTGTATGGTCTCATCTGTGGTGATCTGCAAGTTAGGGAATTCATAAATTAGTGATTATATCTGGACCGTCGCGTGTAATCCCCTATTTAGCATGTTTATTATGAACTTGATTAATTCAATATACATTTAATTTATCTGCCTCTAGCTTGTTTGTGAGAAATCTGGTAGAGTTTGGTTTTTTTTTAAACTGTGTAGGTGGAAGAAAGAGAAAAGCTCTGCTTTGCTTTAAGAATTACTGCCTAGTTATTAAATTGGATATTCTAAAGTCTGAATTATTGAAAATAAAATACTTGTATTGTTGTATATAGACCTCTGTTATATTATTCTACAGAACCCTCCATGTACAGAAAGTGCTCCACACATCTGACAAATAGAGACGTTCAGTGTCACAGTATTGTACATATCAATTAAAGGTGTGTTCTGTGACTGGTGTTTCATACCCACAGTAGCTGGGTCTCTGAGTAAGTCAGTGCACCATGATGGAGAGTTACCCCATCTTGTTTGTGAAATTTTTGAGCAATGATCATGGGTCAGTATGACCTCATACTGTGTCTTTTCTCTTCTGCAGATATGGCAGCATAAAGTACAAGAACAAAGAAATTTGCTTGCACATTTAGATACGTACAAAATGTTGTGTGCTGGGAAAAAATCTTACTTTGCTGCTGCTGTGTGCATTATTACTGTAACTTCAATGCTCACAGTTTCTTATGTGAGGTTACAGACATTTTCTCATCAGCCAAAAGTAATTCAAGAAGGTAGAAGATGTAGAGGGAAAATTGCCAATAGCACAATAACAGCACTAAAAGGTAATAAAACTTTTATTATATCCCCATACTTTGATGACAGAGAAAGCAAAGTCACTCGTCTGATTGGGATTGTTCACCATGATGATGTAAAACAACTGTACTGCTGGTTCTGCTGTCAGCCCAAAGGAAAGATATATGTATCAAAAGCAAAAATTGATGTTCACTCAGATAGATTTGGATTCCCTTATGGTGCAGCAGATATAGTTTGTTTGGAACCTGAAAATTGTGATCCAACACATGTATCAATTCATCAATTTCCACATGGAAATATCGACCAGCTGCCAAGGTTTGAAATTAAAAACCGCAAGGCTGAGACCTTTTCTGTTGACTTCACTGTGTGCATTTCTACCATGTTTGGAAACTACAACAATGTCTTGCAGTTTATACAGAGTATGGAAATGTACAAGATTCTTGGAGTACAGAAAGTGGTGATCTATAAAAACAACTGCAGCCATCTGATGGAGAAAGTCTTGAAGTTTTATATAGAAGAAGGTACTGTTGAGATAATTCCCTGGCCAATAAACTCACACCTCAGGGTTTCTTCTAAATGGCACTTCATGCAAGATGGAATGCATATTGGCTATTATGGACAAATCACAGCTCTAAATGACTGTGTATACCGTAACATGGAAAGGAGCAAGTTTGTGGTCCTTAATGATGCTGATGAAATAATTCTTCCCCTTAAACACCCAGACTGGAAAACAATGATGAACAGTCTTCAGGAACAAAACCCGGGGACTAGTGTTTTTCTCTTTGAGAACCATATCTTCCCAGAAACCGTATCTTCTCACATGTTCAACATTTCATCTTGGAATGCTGTGCCAGGTGTTAACATATTACAGCATGTATACAGAGAGCCTGACAGGAAAGATGTAATCAATCCCAGGAAAATGATAGTTGATCCACGAAAGGTGATTCAGACTTCAGTCCATTCTGTCCTACATGCTTATGGGAACAGTGTGAATGTTCCCATGGATGTTGCCCTCATTTACCACTGTCGTAAGGCCCTTCAAAGAGACCTTCCCAGAAAATCTCTCATCAGGGATACAACACTGTGGAGATACAACTCATCATTAATCATGAATGTTAACAAAGTGCTATCTCAAACCATGCTGCGACCTCAAAAGTGAAGCCTCGGTTATAAGGAGTGAAAATGGAACGCTTACCTCTATTGTGGGAAGACAGAGGACATAACTTAAAGATCACATGAAATTGATTTCCACATGGAGTTTACATTTTGCTGCAATTATTTAGGGAATCTGTAGCAAAGTCACGAATCATTTAATGATATCAAGGGACAATGCAGATTGCAGTATTTCTTCTGGGAAATGTACAATTTGTTTTCATTTAAAACAATAATAAAAATCAGTATCTGTCAAGTGATTCAAATAATGCAAAACAATTTTCAACCTATGTACAAAAAGTACAAATGCAGTCATTAATATTAAAGGTAGCATGGCTTAATTCTTGCAGTTTGTATGCCATTGGGTACCAAATTTGTATGCATCAATTTGAGTAAAAGGTAGACAAGTAATTGAGCACAATCTTTCTTTCATTTATAAAAAAAATTACCCCTTATATTCTTGGAAATAGTGTATGTTAAAGATGTGATGGATTGTAACACGAAACACAGCTGTTGGAGTTTTGCTGATAAAAAATGTCTTGTTCAACTGGGCTTTAGAGACATGTAAGTTTGAGAAGTGATTGCATCTGTTCTGAATTACTAAAGTGGTTTGTGCTGAGCTGTGTTGGAAAGCTTTAATATAGGCAAAGGATACAGATTGATCTTAAAGAAAAAGATACTTTTGTGAACTGAAAAGAACCTATTTTGAGGAGGTACAAATACATGGCCAAACAACTTTTATGAAATATAATAGTTTGTTGGGGTTTTTTTTCTGCCATCTTGAAGCGTCATAGGAAAATATTTCATGAAATTTAGACACAAGTTGGATTTTAGTCCTTTATGTGATGAATAAATGGAATTCTTGGTGGGTGTAAGGGTACAGAAGCTGCATTTTTTCCAACCTCTGCGGAAATAGTGCTAATTAGAGAATTTTGCTGAAGGGTCAGATGGAAACGAAAGCAAACATAAAAAACGATTTGCTCACTTCTGTTTCACAGTTTTAGTTTCACAGTTTCAGTTGCTGTTTGATAAGCTCCCAGAACTACATGCATTGCATATGTTGTGGCAATATATTAGAACCTTCCAACTGAAGGCACATCTGAAGGCAGCGATAGCCTGACACTGGTGTCTGACAGAGAGAAATGTGTGAGAGCAAGGATGCTTTTTAAATTTCTACATTAGTGCCACGCTTTCATCCCTTTATCTATTTGGTAGTGGCACATACCTGTGCCCTTAAAATGCTCTGTCATTAGTGGATTAGTATCATTAGCAGATATCCAAAGGGAACGTTGCTTCACACTGACTGCAGTATCTCCCAGTCTGTATCAACAAACTCGCAGCTCTGTTAAGTATCTGAGATGCCTGCTGCTGTCAATCATATAATCTTGTGTGGCAACAGGTGCATCTAGAATTTCAGACTCGTTTAGAAGGTCCATCTGAAAGTCCAAATCCTTGCTTATAGCATGGCGTGCTCAGGACTTTGTCTAGGAAGGCTGGGCAGCCAGTTTCAGTCTTAAACTAATCTCACTGTGGAGAATTTCTCTTGTTATAAGAAGCATTAACCATTGTCTTGCTTCAAGATGCTGACCTGAGTGTGACATTATTTTCTTTATGGCTTACTAGCTAGCTTGAGACAGTAGCAGTGCTTCCCCATCCCATGCCCATCTTCCCTTTCCCCACCATTCCTTCTGGAAGGCTCAGCTTGGGTCACAATTTCTCAGCCATCTCGTGCTCCACCTCTCTCTGGACTCTGCATGATCAAGGTCACTAATAAAAAGTAGTTAACCAAGTTTTCGTTTTGCTGATTTGGAAACAAGGACAGTTCTGGCACGCCTCTATTTAATCTTTCAAAGGTAATGCAGTGCTGTATAGGTGGCTCCTTCAGAAGAAGCTGAGTTACTGCACACATCATAATGATACTGTTATGTTACTCCCACATTAGGAATGATGAGGACTGGGTTTCAAGACAAGTTATTGAAAACTCGTTTTCATGGAAGCTTTCTTCACTTTGGAGTGAGATAACAAAAGCTCACTTTTGGGAGCTCATTTATGCCCCATACAGTGCAGTTTGAATTGAGAGTTGTGAATTTGGCTTCCAGTATATAAAATCCTTGAGTACAGACAACATTTTTCAAAGTAAATTGGTGTGAGTAAAGGTGGAAAAACTGAGTGCTTAAGAGTCTGGCCTTGTACTTAAGAGACTGCTCTACTGTGACTTTATGCAACTCCTATGGCATCACTCAAATATTGATTCTTGCATGTGAAAACTCCCCTTCATTGGTGAAATTCATACCACATACATTTGAGAATCTTTGCCTTCTTTCAGTATTAAGTATGAAATCAAGTCTCCTTGAATAGTGGGAAGAAAAAAAATAACCAAAAAAAATTTGACATTAAGGTAGGAAGGAAGGAAGGAAGGAAGGAAGGAAGGAAGGAAGGAAGGAAGGAAGGAAGGAAGGAAGGAAGGAAGGAAGGAAGGAAGGAAGGAAGGAGGATCAACCTAAAGTATTTCTAAAGCATGTGATGTAGATACAGCCTTTAAGTACATGTCAAATACCACAGAAGTACGTGGACAAGTATTTGTTGAAGGACTCATCTGATTCTTCTGTTTCAAAGGCTGAGTATTTAAAGCTACAATACGGAAAAACATTTTGAAGAGAAAGATTCTGGAGAGAGAAAGGGTTTGCTATTTTCTCATTTTTGTTAAGCAGCCATGCACTGTAACCAGTATCTACTGTTACATGTACAAAAGCCTATGGTTCTAAAATAGTAGCATCACCTTCTTTTTCAGCAACAAAAAGGTCAGAAGTCAGCTCAAGCACAACTTAATTTCAGACTTGATAGCAGATTTGAGTAGTTTAAACATTACAAGCTATACTTCAGAGCCCAAGTAGGTATATTTAAACATGAATATAGACAAAAATTTGTGGTGAATACTGTTAGCATGCTGCATTGCATTATGTCCAAAACAACCCATTCCCAAATGCCGAAATAAAAGTAAATGATTGTGCATTGCATGATGATTCCATTGGGTGTGCAACTTTGGTTCATGCAAAGTCTCGTTTTATGGACACACTGCTGATAGGCCATATATTCCTGAAGATTCTGTATGTGTGAACTTTTCAGCCATGTTCTTTCCATAACACCAAATGGATACTATGGTCTGGCATACTGGTGGCAAAAACCAAGCCTGTATCATTTTGGCCATTTAGTCCATTTAACCAAGATATTTCACCAGCCAAAAAGCTTGAACCTCTCTTTGACTTTCTATATTCCGGTAAAGGCCAGCGGCTTATCAGTTTTTCTGTCCTCAAGTCCATTATATACAGGTATTTGTTGTCAAAGAGTAGAGCAAATATCTCTCCAAAGCCCAGCAAAGACACATTTGAGAAGTCTGGAGGTTTGATAACCCTAGAAGACAAGAAAACAGTGTTAGAATTTCCCTTACAATGTAATAATGAGCTTGAATTACTAAACCACATCCTGTGTGTCTACAGAAAATGCATCTAAACTCTTCATTCTGAAATAATTTAGAAAGAACTGGATGCAAATCTCTCAAATTAAGCAACTGAACACTTAGCTACAGTCAGGTCTGTGGTTTCACTTCTGGCTTTGTGCATTCAGGACAGGTGCATCTGAACATAAGTGAAGGCAAAGGTTTGAAAGGGATTATTCTGAAGAGCACAAGAAAAAAGAGCCATTTCCACATACAAACAAAAGAGCAAATGCATTGTGTTTTACAGTAAATTTCCATATGGATTTCATTCCTCAATATCTTTAAGCTAAGAGGTAAAAGCTGTCATTATTCTTTTGATCTCTCTTCTAAAAGGCAGAAGTAAAACATAGACATGCCTTGTTGTGATAAGTACGTTAGATAAATCATCCAAGACTGGTCCTTAGAATGCTGTTTTACTGATGTTTTATGTTAAATTAAGCACGGGGAGAAATAAAAGTATTTTTAATTCCCCAACACCTTTATGATGTCTTCCCTTAATAAATAAAACTTGGAACAGAAACTGAAGAGTTGAGTCTTCCTCAACTGCCTTTATGTTTGATCATAGCATTACATAAAGCAAAGAACTGAGCCACAAAAATGTGTGGGGATGAAAACCTGCTCTCAGCAGTAAGAGACCATCTTTCTGTTTTGAAAGATGGGAGGGTAAACTGAGACGTGAAATTACTCAGTTTTTCTTACTGGTAAGAAGCACTTCTGGAGATCTTTCAAGTATCCACAAATATTCAGGCTATTTGAATTAGAGTCTGCTAGCTGTTCTAAAATGCATTTTTTTTCTTTAATAAGTTACTATTTTTGATGCCACCATTTCAAACTCATATAGCCTGATTCTTTTTGTAGAAATGGAATGCCATCATGTTTGGTCCCTTATTGCAGTCTGAGAGATTTCACTATCATTCCACAGCATTAGCAGGAGTGACAGATCAGTAGTGCTATAAGGGAAAAGTGTCTTTTCAATTTCTTGTCTCATCAAAAGACCCCCAGAAATGCCTGCTTGGTTCTCTGTATAGCATTCACCATGGCAGCATTAGCTCTGGGCCACTACATTTTCATATTCACAACTACAGCACTGCAGCCTGGTTTAAGTCTATACTGAAACACTTGAGCTTACAGAATGAAAATATGGAAGAAAACTAGCATGTGCCCGGAAACCAAAACAGCAGTGAAACGATTCATATTATCAGATGACAAAATTAGAATTAAACCACTTCAAATGTGTAAAACAAGATATTTACAGAATTTTTATCAAGATTCTTTTGGTCCGCATCTAAAGTAAGTTATTAAAACTAGTATGATCTACTTCTTATTTAATGAATGAAGACTGAATCCTAAACTGAATGGTTTACCTGAGAATATCATAGCTGGCAAAGTCCCACTGGTATAATCCTAGTGCTGAACTGCACACTATGTATTTACCATCGAAGTGCAGTCTGGGCTGTAGGGAGATGCTGCGGTCTTCAGAAACAGAGAGTGTTCTTAAGCACTTGCAGTTTATTTCCCTTCCAATAGGCCAAATCTACAATTAAAGCACAGTTTAAGACCATAAAGAATTCGCATTATTAACTCTTACATAAATAGAGCAAGTCTCACAGTCTCTTT